CCACCCTTTTTCCATGGGGAAATTCCTGCTGACACCCAACCTGACCTTCCTGGCAGGGAGGGTTGCAGAGAGAATTTGGCCTCCCACCTGCAGGTTGGGGTTTGTGGGAGAGCTGGAGCTCCTGCAGCCAGGAAGGAGAAACATTTCCTGTTGGGAATCACTCCCAAAACTCTTCTTGTGGCTCCCGGATGGCTCCAGCCTGGGAGCCCTCCCAGTGGATTCATCCTTTCGTCATGGAGCTGACAGTCACTTTTACTCTGAGCGACTCCTCTCCCTCCCTGTCATGTGTTAATCATGGGGAAGAAGAGATTTGCACTCCACAAGCCTTATCTGCAATCTTCACTCCTCTCCTTTTCCTCTGGAGAACAGTTTTGCTGATGGTGGAGGCTGGCAAACACCTGCAGGATGTCCCTCCATGCCTTCTCCAGCTCCCTTGGGAGCCTCTGTAGGCACTGGAAGGAGGCTCTGAGGTCTCCCTGGAGCTCCTTTTCTCCAGTGAACACCCCCAGCTCTCCCAGCCTCCAGAGCAGAGGTTCTCCAGCCCTCAGAGCATCTCCATGGCCCCCTCTGGACTTGCTCCAGCAGCTCCACATCCACCTCACGCTCTCCCAGAGCCGAATTCAGGGCTGCAGGTGGGACTCGGACACTAAACGTGCCCAGTTGTTGCTCATGTGGATTGAAGGGCCGGCCACAATTAACTCCTGGCCCTTCCCAGGCTGTGTCCATCCCTCTCATGGGAGGTTCTGGTGTTTCCTCAGCTCGGGAATTCCCTCCTGTGCTCCACAGTCCTCTGCTGCGCTGCAAAAGGCACCTTCTGAGCTGCTCACCCTGAGAAGGGACCTGCACCGGGAGGTGTTTTGTGGGAGCTGCAGAAAGCTCTGGGAGTCTGGGATGAGCCAAAATGTCTCAGTGCATTTTGGATCCTCGAACTCGGGCTGCCAGCAAGTGCTGATTGATTTTTCCCAAATCATCACACTTTTAGGCTCATTTTTTTTTTTGGGGGGGGGGGGGGGGGGGAAGCAGCCTTGTTTTGGTGGGTTGGGTGGAGGAGGATGTGAGTTGTCAGGACTGCCTTGGAGGAGACAGAGATTGAGGTGTTCAATATGTCCTCAGTCACCTCAGTTCTGCAGGATGTTTAAAACTGCAGAACTCCCAAGTCAGTCCCTCTTTTTTTTTTTTCCCTGCCATTTTGTCAAGTAAATAATTATTAAAGCCAAATATAAAAGGAAAAACAATTAAAATATAACCCAAGGCAGCGGTGTGATGCAAGATCTTTTAATGAGAGTAAGAAGAAGAAGAAGTTACAGCTTGTAGTAGCACAGGAGGTTCACACATTCCTTTAACAGAGGGTTACTACAGTTTCACAGCAGGTGTTTTTGGGACTGAGGTGGTGCCTGGGGAGGAGCAGAACCCCCCCCCAGCGCGGCAGCACGAGGCGTCCGCTCCTCCCTGCTGCGAATCTACACAGAAAGTCTACAAAGGAAGAGAAAGGCAACAGCAAAAGCAAATCACTCAGAACAGCAGCAGCTTGAGGACAGATGCCAAGTCCTCAGGACCGACCCCGAGCAGGGTGGGGGGAAAAGGTCCTGCTGCCGCGACAGGAGTCAAATCCATCCGGAATCGCTTTTTTTGGGGTTTGATTCCTGTCCAGGGGCGGTTCCAAAGCCGGGTCTAGCAGGGGTAGCAGGGGTAGCAGCTCCTGTAGCTGTACCTCTGGGTGTAACGGGTGGAGTAGGGGGAGCAGTAGCGGGTGCTGTAGGAGGGGCAGCAGTCGCGGTACCCGCAGAGCCCCCCGACGCTCTGGTAGCCACAGGGGCTCCCGCAGTCGTAGCTCCGGTAGCTGTACACGGCCCCGTAGTTGCAGGGGGTGTAGCAGGAGTCCTCACACTGCCTCTGGTAGCAGAAAGTCATCTTGGGAGTGGGGTGGGTGGGTTGGTGGAGGCTGAAAAGGAAGAGGAAGGGCAGGATGGCGGAATGGTTTGGGTTGGGACCATCTCACTGGTGGAAGGGACTCACAAGGATCAAGTTCAGCTTAAGGGGTTGGCCCATGAGGGGATCAAACCCACAGCCTTGTTGTTGTCAACACCTCCCACTAGCCCAGGTTGCTCCAAGCCCCGTCCAACCCAGCCTTGGGCGCTCCCAGGATTGGGGCAGCCAGAGCTTCTCTGGGATTCACCTCCCCACCCTCACAGGGAACAATTTCTTCCCAATATTCCCCTCTAACCCTCCCCTCTGTCAGCTTGAAAGGTAAGAAGGTCAGGTCTGTTCCCAGCAGGAAGTTGCTGCTTCTGGGAAACCCCACGTGAGCACGAGAAAGAGGGAGAGGAGAGAGGGGTGAGCACAAGAACCGACGGAACATCTCAGTTCAAGGCTACGCTTCGGTTCCTTCCTGCCCTTTCTGGTTGTTTCCCCCTTCTTTTCTCCATAAAAATATTCTGGTTTGTCACTGCTTGGGACTGACAACCTGGAATCAGGTTGGAATTTGGAGGGGACTTTGTTAGAGGTTCTGGGATCAGGGCCTGATGTTTCTCTAGAAACCATCAGTGAACAGACGCTAATCCAGGAATTAATCCTATAGTTCTTTTGCTCTTGAGACAAATCACCCCAAGAAATCCTCCCCCTCGAGCAAGTCTGCTGGGAAAAAGCAGCTTGTTCCTTCGGATCCTTTCCTTAACATCACACCCAACCCTCCCCTGCCACAGCTAATCAACAATCAAGAGACCTGAACTGCGCCACCACGTCCTAAAATAAAGTTATTTCTGACGCCGCACGTCTAGATGAGCCAATCTCCTACATTTACAAGGGTGTATTAATATATAATTTTTAGCAAAAAAAAAAAGAGAATTTCATGGCTATGAAACCCCTTTTAAAGTATTAATGCCATCTCCATCCCAACAGAGCAAACCCCAGCAGGAAAGGCAGTGCAGGGAGCCTGACTTACCAAGGCGGGCGAGAACTCAAAAGCTGAAGATGCGAGTGCAGAGCCTTGAACTTCTCTCCCTTTTTATACCTTTATCTGCCCCAGCCTCCTGCGCTTTCAACTCCCCACTCATCAGAGCCCAAATTTAACGTCTGCACGTCACTCCTGGGGTTGATGTCATTGTTTGCTCTTGCTTTGGGATTATTAGTCAGGTCTTGGCTTCCAAAAGCGTGACATTTTCTTTCATCTGCAGACTTCCTGGGTCAATTACATTTGCAGAATTAGTGTGGTGAAATCTGAGTTATAACAGGAAAGGGAAGGCAGGATATTGAGAGCAGGCTTAATTGAGGCTCCCAATCCCAATTTTGGATGAATGGGCAAATGCCAGTTCGTGAAACCTGCAATGACTCTGGATTCCTCAGAGGAACAAAGAGCTGCAATTACTTTTGGCAGAAATAATTTATCATTTGTTTTCGTTCGTTCCTTCAGGTTTTGTGTATTTTTAGTTATAATTTTTAATTTTTTTTGGGGGGGGGTTGCATGGATGGGTTAATTTTGTCCCGTGACCTCCCACAGGTAAGTCATTCTGTAGAAAATCTCATTTATTTGCTTGCTGCGCTCCATCAATTACTTTGACCCAACTTAACGAACTCCTAAATCTACACTGAAGGAAACTGGTGTCCTTTTTGCTGTAAGAAGAGTGTAAATATGTTTGAATGACGCCAGGTGTGGGTGACTTTATGAGAACCTTAAAGCAGGCAGAGATCACCCACAAATCCAAATTATTTCAAGCAGAAGTAACGATAGTTGAAATTTCCGGGCTTATTTTTTTTTGCTGTTTGAAGTTCCCAGCCTTATTTTAGGAAATAAACTCACAAACTCCATTTTCTGGAGAGAGAGCAAGCCTAAATTTCATCGGTCCCAAAAACATCTGTTGGGTGCTTTTTTTCTTTTTTTTTCCTTAACACTTAGTTCCAGAAATGATTTGCTCGTGACAAAACATTATCTCTGTAATAACTGCAGCTTTCCTGAGGAATCCCCCCCAAATTCCAATTAGGGTTTAATGGGGTGTTTTCTCAGTGTTGCCGAGCTGTTTAATTTAATTCGATGATTAATGCTGAGCCCTGCGAATGCCACTTGGGTATTCCCTGCTTGACCTTCACCTCCCAAACGCTGCTGTTTACCCACAGTCCAAAAGGCAGGGTAATGACAGGCACAGTCAGGAGTTCTGGGGCCCTTTTCTCTCGATTTTGCATATCAAAGCCTTCATTAACACTTATTAAACGTTTCCCCCGCGCACAAAGAGATTTATTATTGAAACGTTAATGCCACGTTGTTATGCTCGGGTTATGTAAGACAAAGAAAAAAAAAAAAAAAACAAAAAAACAAAAACGTCCATCGGGTTGTGCCGTTTCTGGGCTTTATTAAGTGGTAATTTATAGCTTCAGAATTGGGTCTCGGGGAGGTATTTACCCCCCCTTCATCTCTGCAGATGAGTTGTGTACATACCATTTCGGCGCTTCCAGGCCAATTTTCGGGTTGAATCAATCCCGGTCCAGAATCAAAGGAATGAATGAATGGTCTTTATCCCCCCCAACAGGAAACGTCGGAGAGGTTTGGTCATTAGAGTTACGAAACCCGCGAAAAGCAGAGGTCGCGCTTCCCTTCCCATCAGCGTTCCGAGGTGAGAGGGAGGGGGGGAAAAAAAATGCAGAGGGAAGCGAGTGGGGCCGAAGACGCTTCTTCCAAGAGGAAGAGAATTCCTGAGTCTTCGGGAATTCGCGAGTCTTTGCATTTTCTGGCGACCTGTCGCCGTCCTCGTGAGCCGACTCAGCAGGATGATACCAAGGCTTAATTGCCCTGGGTGGCTCGGAGATGAAAGGCGCCCAGCGGGGTGTTGCCTTGGACCAATAATCAGAAACCCTGCGGAGGAGCAGGATATCAATGAGAAGGAGTCACGGGGGGAGGCAAAAAGGGGTTGGTAATTGGAGCTGACCCGGGGTGGGGGGTAGGGGGGGGGGGGCGGGACTGGGCGCTCTATAAAAACCCTGCACGGCAGAAAACCAGGCATCCACTTCTCCTGCTCTGTTCTCCTTGGACGCTTGGGTAAGTCAGAAGAGATGTAGGAAATTCGGGTGAATAACGAATATTTGATGCTATTTCCCCCTCCTTTCTTTTGCCCCGATCTACAAGATAAAGGCACTGGGAATTAAGGCTGGGGTTTGACGAGAGTGATTCGTATGTAAACCAGCCTTTTCTTCCTGGATTTCAGTCAGTACTGGAATGTTTGAAACGGTGTCGTTCCCGCGTGTATCCCCTTTTCCCTTAAAGCCTTTGTCTCGGCAGGGCTGTGAAGGCTTTTTCGGTTTATTCCCCGACAGCTCTTTTGACGCGGCTCACCAATCCCATTTCCCCGTGGGGCGCAATCACTGACGGGTGGGAAAAGCTCCGGAGGGAGGGTTAGGGGTTTAAAAACCAGGAGAGAACAACAGAGAGCCAAGCAGTGCCTTTGCTGCGCGTCCTCGAGATTTCCTCTCCGCTCATCTCGCACCTCAAAGGCTTTATTTTTATTTTTTTTTTTTTTTTTTCAGGCTCGCCTCCCTCCACTCCCCAAGATGACTTTCTACTACCAGAGGCAGTGTGAGGACCCCTGCTACACCCCCTGCAACTACGGGGCCGTGTACAGCTACCGGAGCTACGACTGCGGGAGCCCCTGTGGCTACCAGAGCGTCGGGGGGCTCTGCGGGTACCGCGACTGCTGCCCCTCCTACAGCACCCGCTACTGCTCCCCCTACTCCTCCCGCTACATCCCGAGGTACAGCTACGGCAGCTGCTACCCCTGCTACCCCTGCTAAACCCGGAGGGTGCGAATAACCGGCTGGAATGAAGGAATTTTCCACTGCTTTTGCTTTTTTTTTTTTTTTGCCGGGAGCTCCGGCATCGCTGCGGGACCCCCGGGGGATGCTCAGCGTTCCTGTCGAGCTTCAGATGTTCTTCCAAAGCGTTTTGTTTTGTTTTGTTTTGTTTTGTTTTTCTTAGCCCTGCCAGGGTTTGGTGGTGGAGCGGAGGAAAGCGGGTTTAGCGTTGGTTAATTTGGGTAAACAACTTAGCTGATTTATAGCTCCTTCTCTGCTAATCTGAATGAAATCTAGAGTGTGCCTCTACCAGCCCTCCTGGGGATGGATTTCTGCCTTGGCTGCCTTTGAAACTACACCAAAGAAACATATTAATTCATCTAATCAGGCTTGTTTCACTGGATTTCGTACAAACGGAAAGGTTTAATGATGGAAAATGGGCAGTAAAATGCTCCAGCAAAATTGTCCCAACGAAACCGGGAGATTTTCTGCAGATATAAATTCGTGTTGTACCCATTTCTTTCTGCTTTTGCTTTCTGTGCTGTTTTAGATTGTGAGCTTTATTCTTATTAAAAAAAAATTGTTCCAGCATCATTACATGTCCCTGGTTGTCTTTTTCTGGCTTGGATATACACAGATTTTTTTTCATGTTTTAGGAGACACACAGCCCCCTGTGGCTCTTATGAAACTCATTTTAAGCTCAGCTCAAGCTGAGCACACTAATTTTGCAAATTAATAACCCTCAGCTGGCCATCACCTGTCACCCCTTGGAGATATTTGGATGGATAAGTGGATGGATGGATGGATGGATGGATGGGAGCCCCTCTCAGATGAGAGATTTGTGTGGATATTTGATATATTTGTATGGATAGATGGGATCCCCTCTCAGCTTTCTCTTCTCTGGACTAACCAGGCCCAGCTCTCACAGTCTCTGCTCATCAGAGATGCTCCAGACCCCAAAATCATTCTTTGCTATCTCCAAGTCTTTCTTGAACTGGGGGGACCACGACTGAACACCAAACTCCCAGTCTTATAAAAGGAACACAAAATAGGCTACAGCACAAAATATGAACTCAAAATTCATCAGAAATCTTTGCCAGGAAAGCTGTGGGTTTTACTTCCAGCAGCTTTGGGGATGGAGCTTTTCCCAGGGCTTCTGAGAAGCTTTTTTTCCTTGGGAATCACTCAGTGATTTGGTGACCTTGGCATTAAGGTTTGTAAATTAAGCAAGCAACTCATCCAATTTCAATCTTTTAATCAGCTAAACCTATTTAATAAAATATAGGGAATTTATAAACAAGTTGCTCAGTAAAAACTGCAGAGCTGTGTGTCAGAGAGCACAAGTTTAGAGAGACAATATTATGTTAAATTAAATTCTACTCTCTCAGGAGTTCCACAGACTGTACTTTCAGCAGCTCCATCAGGGGGCTGAGTTAACAGGAAGAGTTAAAAATCCGTGGAATACCACACACGTATCAGAAAGACTTCAGATAAAGCTAAGAAAGAAATCCAAATGTCGTGGTTGTTCATGCAGAGCCACATTTGAATGAAGAATTTGAAGGCTATAAAATCCCATTGTGACTAAAGCAAACACCGAAATGCCCCAACACGCACCTTTGAAGTGACTGTTTTTCAATAATGAAGCACCTGAGAAGAGAATTAAGCTTTTAATAGACTAATAACACACTATAAATATATAAAATAGTTACGAGCGTCTGAGAGCTGCTTTGAACTTCCAAAATTATCTGCCGTGGTAAATTGTGAAGACACCGTGTATTTCTGCTGGAGAAAAGGACCAAAGAAGGAATAAATAAATTAACTGATACTTTTTCCCTTTAAACCTGTCTCTTAGAATGGGGATAATAACTTGTTTGTACCCGTTGTGTGCTACAACAAAAGGGTGTAAATGAGCTGCTGAACAGCTCACAAACCCTTTTCACTAAATAATGCGGCCTGAGTTTCAGGATCAACATCATCGCAGGAGGAATCTCCTCCTGGAAAGGGTGGTGAGGTCTTGGCAGGGGCTGCCCAGGGAGGTTTGGAATCCCCACCCCTGGAAGTGCCCAAGGAAGGACTGGAAGTGGCACTGAGTGCTCTGGGCTGGGGGACAAGGTGGGGATGGGGCACAGGGGGGACTGGATGATCCTGGAGGGTTTTTCCAACCTCGAGGATTCAGGGACTCTGTGAACACATCCCTGCTCAAGGTGGACAATCAGAAGAGCAAACTCATAAAAACCAACCAAACACCGAGTTACTGCAGCAAAGTGAAGTCTTTATTGCGGGTGGAAAATGCAACAGAGAGTGGCAGCAAGACACAAACCACCCCAGGGACAGGGAATTGGAAACACAAAAATCCTAAAACAGCAGCAAGGCCCAAGCCAGGGCTCCACCCCAAAGATTCCCCCTTCCTCTTGCAGGTTGGGAGTCTCCAAGCTGGGCAGAGCAGGGCAGAGGCTCATCCAAGAGGGTCAGAAGAGCTTTGTTGCAGGGCAGGGAGAGGGGAGCTTTTGGGGGCCAGTGCTGGAAGCCCCAAAGCCACCAGCTGAGGGTCTGCAGGGTCACCCTGTGCAAATCACGGGGAGCTGCTCCTGCAGCCTGAAGAGGGGCTGGAAGCTTCATCCTGGCTCAGGTGGGAGAAGCCAAGAGGGGCTGGTTGTGGAGCCCCAGGGGCAGGGGCAGCACTGAACTCCCTGCACGTTTAGGCTTTAGCAGGGGCCACAGCTGCCACGGCCCCAGCCACGGCCACAGCTCCCAGAGCCCCCAAAACCCCCATAACCATAACCCCCATAACCATAACCCCCATAGCCATAACCCCCATAACCCCCACGGCCTCCAAAACTGCCCCCAAAGCCCCCTCCAACAGCAGGCACTCCTGCTGAGCCCACAGCGCTCTGCTGGGGGAAGGAGCTGAGGATGGGCCCGGGGAAGGTGACCACTGAGGCCGGGGGCTGGATCACCACCGTGGAGTCGGGGCACTGCCGCACGCAGGGCTCGTTGCACGTGTCAGCCAGAGGGGCCGGGGTGGCCACCCCACAGGAGGAGGGCACACAC